CTCTTACCTGCCCTGGGAACAGCGGGGACAGCAGCCACCAGGCCGGGCAAAGGGCTCCGTGTGGAAACTCTCCTCACGCTGCTGGCGCTGTCAGCTCCCCGGGCAGTCCCCAAATGTTGTTTTTAGGGGCAAAAATGCTGTTTTCGGGACTAATTTCACCGAGCGTCGGCTGGGAGCAGCGTCTCCGGGAGGGTTTTTCTGCCCTGCCTGGAATTGGGCGCCTGGGAGCGGCGTGCGGGCGATTTATGGGGATTTTCTCAATGGGAAATGGGGGAACAACGGGTGGAAAAGCGGGGTGCTGAAGCAGGAGATGGGAAGGGTTGGAGAGGGAATTCCGCTTGCTCCCGGCGGGATCCACGCCAAAAGGAGCAGCCAAAAGGCTGAGGGCTTGGATGGCGCAGAACGACCTGGAGGAAGGAGGATAAATAAGATTAAGAGCAGCCGTAAAGCTGGGGGGGACCCAAGGAGGGGCGAAACGTGGGTGCTCCGGGACCGCGTCGGATCCATGGAGCTAAATCCAACCCGGGACAGGTGCGGCCCGGGGAGCCCACGGGCCGGGGCTGGGAAACAGCGGCACGAAGGTCCCGGGGGGGATCCGGTTACGCGCTAAAAATACCCCCGGAGCGGGGCTGCCGGTGTCCGTAAACAGGAGCTATTTCCATCCCGCGTCCCGCCTGGCGTTCCCGCCGCTGGAGAGGCTCTGCCGGCCTCCTCTGCCTTCCCAGGCCCTGGGGACGAAGGAAAAGAAGGATTGGGATCAAATCCGTGGGTTGGTAACGGCCCCGGTGGGACCGCGGCCGCGCTCCTGCAGGAACCCGTTTTCCGGGATCTTTTCCCTGGCTCGTGGTGGAGATCGGTTTTAATAGGAGGATGTAAGGCTTCATGGGGAACAAATCCCGCTGTATCCAAGAAATAAAGTGGGAGAGGAAGCCCTTTTGGGGGGAGGATACACCAAAAGCGCCCACTTATGGCCTCTAGGGGCAATTTCTCCCCCAAAATGTGGCCCTCGGGATGTATCCCAAGAGGGTTTGAGCTTGGGATCAACTCAGCTCCCATAGGACTCGGAGCACTCTGTGCCAACTGGTTTCCGAGTTCAGGCCCAGCCTAAACCTCGTCCCGGCGTCATAAAATGCTGGATAATAGGAAAAATTAAAGGATTAGGCAGATGGATCAGCGGGAAAGGGATGTAATGGGGCCGAGTGGTGAAATAAATCCGGGCAAAAGCATCTCCTGGTTCAGCTCTCGCCGTTCCCGCTCCGTCCCGGAGCGCGACGCGGCAAACGGAGGAGTCATCGATAATGAAGCTCGCGCCACTTAACATTAAGTGGCTAATCACCATTAGTTCTTTCGGTATTCCCCCTAATGGCATTAATCACGGGCCGCTCATTAGACTTTAATGCGCCCGTAATATGTTAATCCATAGTAATTCCGTCGCAATTGAGCAAGGGATAATGTCCGCTCCTTGGGAAGGGCCGGCGGCTGGAGCCAAGGTCCGTCTTGCTCCATGGCCATGGGAAGAGGTGGAAAAAGTACTGTGCTCAGCGAGGAGGAGGAAGAAGGTGGCTTCATCATCCGGAGCCATCCCTGCTTCCCTAGGAGGGAGTTAAAACCCGAGAATCCCAAGAATTTCCGAGCAGGTGCCAAGCCGGCTTCTAGTTTTAATTACAATTTTATCCTCCGCTGTTTTGCAACACCTTGCGGCTGCCCCGTTTCATTTAACAAACATTGATTATTTTTCTTTTTTCTCCATTTTTTTCCCTCCTTTTCCCGGGCGGCAGCTCTGAATTTATGGAGCTTTTTCTAATTGAATTTCCTGCCCTGTGGAACTGGCCGTGGCGGGAGGCCGGCACGAGGCCACGCGGCTCCCGGGAGCTTCCTTGGAAAGGGATGGGAGGATGCCCCTAAAATCTGCTTTTTTTCCCCACCCATTTTTCCACCTGGGAATTAAACATAACCAGGAATTTGACATCATAGGGAATTAAACATCGGGAATTAAGTGCTGGCTTTTTACACTCCATGGGCTGTAGCAGGAGGGATGTCCATGGACCTGTGTGGTCCCATATGGATGATACCAAGACGGATGTTCCCTGCTTTTTGGGCACCGTAGGCTGCACCAAGCCGACACTTTCCCTTAAATTGCTGATGGATCATTACAAAATAAAAAGGGAACAAACCAGAATTCAATCCAGGCCAATTCCGCAGCTACAACCCCAAAGATGCCGCCCGCCCGCGTACGGCAAACGGCTCCAAATCCGGGGTTTATGGACTGCTAAATTAAACAAACAAGCCGGTGCCGAGCCCTGCCGCTTCCGAAGGGAAGGAGGGCGCCGGCTCTGGTGGCTGCTTCCCAATTTGCATCGTTAAAGAGTTGTGACCATCTTCCCGCCACCCGTTTCTGCCCCCTCCGCTTGCTAGGGAATATTGGCGGTTATTTATTCGGGCCTTTGGCTTTTCCCCGTTAGCTGGAATAATAATGCGTATTATTAATTGTGTTTTTAATGTATATTGTTAATCCGTGTTCTTAATATGGACACGTTATTGATATTGAAATATATAACAATTATTGAATATATTTATTTAAAATATATAACAATTATATATTTTTAAAGTATATATATATTTTTAAAATATATAACAATTATAAATGTATTTAACAATATAATATGTGCCTGTATTGCCATCCTGGCTGGTATTGATTGTGTAAAACGGACTCCGAATCCCACTGGAAGTCGCTTGGGATGGTGTCGGTGACGGCGACGCGCCAAGCGGGGTGAAATTCCCAGGATTTATGTGGTAACTTGCGGCGTCCTGTTTTTTTTATCCTGGGAAAAGAGGGGAAAAGTGCCTGTTTTGGCCCTTCCTGCTGCAGGCGTGACCCTATAGGGGACCCTATAGGCCCCTGTTATAGGTAATGGGGCTGGGGGAAAATGGCGCCTCAGGGTGGGTTGGGGGGAAAATGGCACCTCAGGGGGGTTGGGGAGGTGAAGGGCGACTTGGGGGGTGTTGGGGGGAAGTGGGGGGCACTGAGGGGACCCAGTGACACTTGGGGACACTGAGGGACCCCAGTTGCACTTG